CTGTCCTGGGTAGGGGGACAGGGTCTCCTGTGTGGGGGCCAAAGAATTCATACACTGCCACCCCCTGCACTCGAGGACGCTTCCTCGCGCTCCCCCGCACCCCTGCTTGGCGGCTTCCCCAGAGAGATCAGGACTTTCCCTATATATATATGTGCATATATAGAGAGAGCAAGAGACAGTATATATATTTTTTTGCGTATAGGTCATGGGGCCAAACTTTTCTGACTTCCTAACACCCGAGAGGGGATGACCCTGAGCTGGTCACTTGGAAGGGACCAGGCTGGCTGGGCGGCCCCGGTGCCCGCCCGTCTGTCCCCCCTGGCGGGGACATCAGACCAGGATGCGCCCCCCCTTACCTCCGGGCTGCCTGCCTCGTCCGCCAGCCACGCGCAAGGGGCCTGAGCCTGGCCGGCTGGGCTGTCCCTGGTCTCGCTCTCCCGTCTGTCCCGGCCCCAGGGCCCTGCCTTCTCGGATGCTGGCACAAGGACCCTCAGCACCTCACAGCCCCTGTCTGTCCCCTGGCGGGGACATCAGACCAGGATGCGCCCCCCCTTACCTCCGGGCTGCCTGCCTCGTCCGCCAGCCACGCGCAAGGGGCCTGAGCCTGGCCGGCTGGGCTGTCCCTGGTCTCGCTCTCCCGTCTGTCCCGGCCCCAGGGCCCTGCCTTCTCGGATGCTGGCACAAGGACCCTCAGCACCTCACAGCCCCTGTCTGTCCCCAGTCCCTCTGTCATAGCCTTATTCGAGTGACCAATAGCCCTTAGCTTTCCGTTGGAGGGGACAGCTGGCGAGGGGGTGTCACCCCCGGGCCTCACTGTCCCCCCCCAGGGCAGGCAGCCATGGTCCCTGCCTCCGAATCACCAGCCTCCAAATTAAGGTCCTTGTAACCAAGATCTCCACGCGCTTTGGACCAGGATTACCCGAGCCCCTTTGTGGGGAGACGGACCATGAAAGGGACCTTCTTACCTCTGCAGAGATTTTTCTTGTTTTGTTTTGGGTCTTTCTGAGCAGGCACACAGAAGAAAAGAGAA